GAGGCCCGGGTTTGTGGTCCCCCCCCCCCCCCCCCCCCGACTCCCCCCGGGCAGTTGGTGACCTTCTGACCTCCGGGGGCCGTTGGCAGCGCGCGCACGAGTCCCCTCCACATGGTCGCGCGCCGCTCCGGGCAGTCCTCGCGCAACGGGCGACCGCCCCCCGCCCTCTCGAAACGAGGCCGTCTGAGGAGCCGCGCTGAGAAGCAAGGAACGGCGGGAGAAGGCGGAAAGGGAGGGGATAAGGGTCCCAGGGCGCTGCCATCTTTGGTGTGCTTTTAAACGCTGTCCTGGAGGAGTCACTTCCGGTAAGTCCGCTGCGTGTGTCACGGAGGGAAACGAGGGCTAGGACGTATGGTTCCGGAACTAGGGGGTTCCGACGTGTGAGGGAGCGGAAGCGAAGCAGCAGGGAGCGGACCAGGTCTCAGGGGTTGCTGCTGCTGCTGCCTCCCCTTCCCCCAATCAGTCTCCCCTAGAGAGAGCACAGCTTGTGTGTGTGTGTGTCAGGGCTGCCCCATGAGGCTTTGCAGCCACATCAGGTGCCACAGGCCTGGGAGTCAGGGCTCCTGGTTTCCATCCCCAGCTCAGGCAGAGGGGCCCGGTTAGGGTCCCATAGGCCTGGGTGGCCCCTTTTCTAAGCCCCGTCCCGTCTCCATTAGCAAATCTGCATGTGTCCCCTTTGCTCTTGCCAAGGGATCATCAGCCAGGAACAGCAAACGGGACACATGCAGTTTTGCCAATGAAGCAAATCAGGGTTCCCTCTAATCTTTTCCATCCACTTGCAGAATAATTTCCTGTATGTGCAGCGAGACGTGTGACTATGCACCATTAGGACAAATCAAAAAACCTAGTTGGGTGTGCTCTGGTAATCGGCTGGGCGGCGTATAAATCTCTCTGAGCAGCCGCACAAGCACACGGCTTACAAGGATGATTGGTACAAATGCCGTGCGGGCCACAGAGGGATATGTGTGTGGGGCAGGGCATGCTTGGACTGGAGACAAGGCATAAAAGGCAGCAGCTCAGCTCAGTTTGCAGTGGAGAGCAGATGTGTGTTGTAGGCTTCTTCTAAGAAGTTGCGAGAGCCCTAGACTGCAGAGGCTAAAGTTACTGTGGGCACCCAGTCAACCACTGAGGATGATGGAGAAGTTTGTTGACTCCAGGGGTATGTCTACACTACAGCACTAATTCGAACTAACTTAAGCTAATTCGAACTAGTGCATCTAGACCTAAAAACTAATTTGAATTACAGTTTTGCTAATTTGAACTAGCATGTCCACATTGAGTGGACCCTGAACCGAGGTTAAGGCTGGCCGGAATCAGTGCCAGCAGGGCATCAGGTTGGGACTTAGAGTATGGAGCTGCTGCCTCAAGCTAGCCGAGGACTGTGCTTATAGGGAACTGACCCCCACCTCGGACAGACAGTTCTCAGGGTTCCCCACTTGCTTATCTACCTCGATGAGGGACAGCAAAGCAGTCCTGTCTTGGAGTGCCCTGAGTGCCCACACTTGGCACATCACAGCACTCGGCCATCAGCCCGGCTGCACTTGCCGCAGGCTGCCATCTGAGGGGGGAGGTCAATCGGGGGGCTGTCAGGATCCAGGAGGCCCTGCAGGAGAGCTTCCACCCCGAGGAGCCCACAGAGCCACCCCAGTCCTCCCCATTGGGGGCTCGTGCTCCATTCCTCCCTCACCTCCTTCCATTTACCCTTCCCTAGCCCCCCTTCTTCATGTAAAAAATAAAGATAACGTGTCTTCCAAAATGGAATCTGACTTTATTGAACAAAACTGGGGGAGACTGGGAAAAGGAGGTGGGAGAAGGGAAGAGAGACGCTGGGAGAGGGGAGGGCAACTACAATGATCAGGGGTTGGGAACAGGTCCCATATGAAGAGAGGCTATCCATTTACCCTTCCCTAGCCCCCCTTCTTCATGTAAAAAATAAAGATAACGTGTCTTCCAAAATGGAATCTGACTTTATTGAACAAAACTGGGGGAGACTGGGAAAAGGAGGTGGGAGAAGGGAAGAGAGACGCTGGGAGAGGGGAGGGCAACTACAATGATCAGGGGTTGGGAACAGGTCCCATATGAAGAGAGGCTAAAGAGACTGGGACTTTTCAGCTTAGAAAAGAGGAGATGGAGGGGGGATATGATAGAGGTCTCTAAAAGCATGAGTGGGGTGGAGAGGATGCATACAGAAAAGTTCTTCATTAGTTCCCATAAAGAAGGACTAGAGGACACCAAAGGAAAGGAATGGGTAGCAGGCTTCAAACTAGTAACAGAAAGTTGTTCTTCACAAAGCAAAGAGTCAACCTGTGGAACTCCTTGCTGCAAGAGGCTGTGAAGGCTAGAACTACAACAGAGTTTAAAGAGAAGTGAGATAAAGTGATGGAGGTTGGGTCCATGGAGTGCTATTAGCCAGGGGGTAGGAGTGGTGTCCCTGCCCAAAGTTTGTGGAAGGCTGGAGAGGGATGGCACGAGACAAATGGCTTGGTCACTGTCTTCGGTCCATCCCCTCCAGGGTCCCTAGGGTTGGCCGCTGTCGGCAGACAGGCTACGGGATAGATGAACCTTTGGTCTGACCCAGGATGGCCATTGTAGGCTCAGGGTCGGGGGTCTCAGTGGACCCCCTTGATTCTCATGCACACCTGCTCCTGGGTGGCCAGGCTGGCAGCTCTCCTGCAC